CACACACACACACACACACACACACACACACACACACACACACACACATTCATACCAATATAAATATATATGCATTCGCTTATGGAATATGCTTTGTGCTGCCAAGATCACAAAAATGAAACCAAAATGAGGGGTATCTAAACCATTTTCTTGGAATTATATAAGCAACGGTAATATAGGGTAATTCATAAAGGTGGAATATTAAGGATTTTTATTAAATGGGAAATAAATATTTTCCCAAAGGTGGAATATTAAGGATTTTTATTAAATGGGAAATAAATATTTTTCCCAAAGGGGTTGTTTGGATACGGTGTTTGTGGAGAACCAGTTTTTCTTAAACGTAAAATCTGTTATAACCGCCTAAAACCTTGTTTGGGTTATCCAATGAAATCGTGGATATGGATTATCTGGTTTGCTAAAAACGCAAAAAGTGAGTTTATAGAAAAACGACTAATATACATTTTTCTATAAACTTGTTTTCTGTATACTGTAGCTTCACGCCGTCCGGTGCCTCGGCTTGTTGAACTTTAGCGTTTGCATCGCCATTCGCATCGTCTCCGTCGTCTCCATGGTTGAGGTTGCCATCTAATTCTACGCCCCGGCGCGTCCATGCCGGTGGTCGCGGCGGTCGCCGCCGGCGCCCGACGACGACGTCGAGCTCCGCGGCATCGACGATGCGAGGCTGAAGGTTAGTACCTGACGGCAATAGACTACGGTATAATGGCAAGACCGCAAGAGACCACGCTGCCATGGCCGGCCGTGCGTCGACCGGCTCGTCTACTACTTAGCTCGCCATGCCCGTCTTGGTCGCTGCGGGCTGCGGCGCTGGTTATCACGTCACGCCCGTTCTCAACGTATCCATGCCCAGCTTGGCTGCGTCTGGCTGCGCCTCTGCCACCATTCCGCTCCACACCAAGCGGTGCAGCTGCGTTGCTATACTGCTATGTGTACATCTTGTCCACATCGAAGCCATTATTTGTGCTCGTGTATACATATGACAAGTCGCGATTGGCAGAAAAGCATGTGCGTTGCGTCCGCGTCATGTATAGCACACAGAAGTATGCAGGGAGGCGATGAGCGAAGCTTCATGGCCTCGGGTAGGAGGAGCGCAAGGTTACTGACTAATTGTGTTGTTCTTCTTCTTTCTCTCTACCCAAACAAGAAATTGTATATACTTATCTTAACAGAAAAACTAACTAAAACTGGTTTTCCTAAAAATCCTCCTAAAACTCGTTTTGCTAAATCTCACATCTAATCCTGGATATCCAAACAACCACAAAGGTAGCGTCTTTGGCTTTGGACTATGTGGAGTGCCTTGGGTGGAAGAAGAGATCCATAGTGTAATCATCCCACGCCATTTGACCAATTTTCGAGATAGCCAAGATAACAAAAAAATTAAATCCAGATGGAAAATTACCAAAAAGGAATAAGGTCAAATAAAATCCAGAAATTCCAAAAGGTGAAAACTCGCTGCTTACAAGCATGCATAGGTGATGGAGAATTGCAGATGGTGTTGCCTTAGCTAGACAAACATCTGCCATTCATGTTGTTGCAATCGTGGTGGGGCATGAAGGATCGTTAGCGCCTGAATTCATCGAAGCTTTCGTGCAGTGATGTTGGTTTGGTTGTTCGATGTGCATCTTTTGGTCGTTTGGGTGTGTTATGTTGATGGCCAGTAAATCTTAAACCGGTTGTATGATATTATAGTCTTTTTTTTATCATGTGGCGAGTGTTTCGATGGTGAGCGCTCGCACCGTGTTCCCTACTGGTGCCTTAACTCGCAGCCCTCTTTCCTGTCTTCTTTCGCTGCCCGTAAGAGTGGACTATTTTACGAGGTCCCGACACTATGTAATGCAGAATTGGCTGCTGCTTAACGAATGAATTCACTTTTTCCCTGCGCAAAAAAAACAGAAAATAAGTTGGCTGGTTGAAAAAAAAACTGTCAACACAAGGACACGGTTCCTCTGACGTACGGCGCACACGCTGACATGTGGGCTTGGACCCACCCGTCAGTGGCCCAACGTCAGGGGATCCGGCTCCTCGACACACAGGCAGTAATAATCACAGGTGCTCGACCATGACTTTGAAGGAAAGAAAACATCCACAAAACCATTTCAGGTTATGATATTTTTTTTCAGGTGCACGTGTCGGTGTACTCGTACCGTAGTCCACAGGCACCACAGTGCTTTGTGGATACGGGCACGACTCATCGGGCCACGGCCACTTTCCCGATTTCTTCCTTCTCGTTGCGGCCTCCGACGTCGTCCCCTGCCCCACCCAACTGCTTCCCGCGAAAGCAACGAACCCATCATCAAATCCGGCGACCGATCCGTCATCCTCCTCCCCGCGGTCGCGGCGCCATTATAATTCCTCCCATTCCCATTCCCATTCCCTCGCCTCCCGTGTCCCGCAGCCATAGCTGGCCGGAGGCTTTTGCGTCCACGCCTGCCCCACTCCTCGCCCAGTCCCAGTCCCAGTCCCCTTCACTTCCACGCGAGGAAGATTTTATATTCCTGCATAATCTCCCAGGCGATCCAATTTCCCGTATTGGAAGCTTGCGCGGAGTAGTTTTCCCATTTTCAATTGGGTTTTTATTGCTCGCTTGCTTCTTCTTTCCCTCACGCTTCCTCCTCCTCGACGCGAGATCGTGCGATCACTGCGCTTATTTGGGTCGCCGGGATCGTTGGTCCAGTAGCCGGCGCCGCTCGAAATTGGATTCTTTTAGCTCGGTTTCGTGTCGCCGCGAGGCTCCGTCGTCGATTGGCTTGTCCGCTTCACGTAAAGATCAGGTTTTGCTTTGCCGCCGGGAGTGGGTTGGTCAACACGATTTGGGGATTTTTTTACAGTCGAACAAAGGTTGCTTCTGCTGATAATCCAAGCTCGCTTTTTCTACCGAGCTCAGCTCGAGATTGAAATCGAGCTGGGGTTTGCCAGTTTCTGACCTCGCCGGAGTCGCCGAGTGACTTCATTTCAGCCGTTAATGGAGGAGTCCGGGGAGGCGAGCATCGGGCCCTTCAGGATCGGCCCGTCGACGCTCTTCGGCCGGGGCGCCGCGCTCCGCGTGCTCCTGCTCAGCTCGCTCTGGCGTCTGCGTGCCCGCGCGCGCACCGCGACGCGCGCCGCGCTCTCGCGTGCGCGCGGGGCCGCGCTGCCCATGGCCGCGTCCTGGCTGCACCTCAGGAACACCCACGGCGTCCTCCTCGCGGTCGTGCTCCTCGGGCTGCTCCTCAGGAAGCTCTCCGGGGCGCGCTCGCGGCTGGCGCTGGCGCGCCGGCGTCAGCTCTGCAAGAGCGCGATGCGGTACGCGGGGACGTACGAGGAGTGGGTGCGCGCCGCCAAGGTGCTCGACAGAATGTCCGACCAGGTCAATGAGTCGGACTTCTACGACGTTGAGCTCATCGGGAGCAGGCTCGACGAGCTCCGGCGGCGGAGGGAGGAGGGATCGCTCCGGGACGTGGTCTTCTGCATGCGCGGCGATCTCGTCAGGAACTTGGGGAACATGTGTAATCCTGAGCTGCACAAAGGCAGGTTGGAGGTATTCGACATGATAGCACCTCTCATTCTTTTTTGTCTGTTCTATTACAAGATGTTTTTCTATACCAAGGTTGTGGTAAATGGCTAGATTTAGAAAGTATAGGAATCAATTATCTCATTCTTTTGATTCTCCATTATCTAAATATGCATATATGTTGGGTCATTGCATTCTTATTCTCTACTAGTATCTAAATATGCATTCGTTTATTCTTAGCATCTATGCCGAAGGCATTTTCGAATGTTATACACTTATACTTGGTTCCTATATAAAAGGTTGGCCAGGTGTTTCTATGTTACAAACCAATAACATGGTTTATAACTGTTTTCAACTAAAAATTATGCACTGTCAAGTGCTCAAATAACTATACTGTCTTCCATTTCTTAGTATCTATGCTGAAGGCATTTTCAAATTTTCCTATAAAAAAAGTTGGCTGAATGTTTCTATGCTACAAACCTATAACAAGGTTCATTACTGTTTTCAACTCAAAATTATGCATTGTCAAATGTTTAATTAACTATACTATCTTCCATTCTGGTTACACGGTTGATCTATTGTAATGCAGGTGCCTAGACTTATAAAAGATTTCATTGATGAGGTTTCAACTCAATTGAAAATGGTTTGTGAATCCGATACGGATGAGTTACTTTTGGAGGAGAAGCTTGCCTTTGTTCAGGAAACCAGACACGCCTTTGGAAGGACTGCACTACTCTTAAGTGGGGGTGCTTCACTAGGTTCCTTCCATGTAGGTGTAGTGAAAACTTTGGTTGAACATAAGCTTCTGCCTCGGATAGTCGCAGGATCAAGTGTTGGTTCCATTATATGCTCAATTGTCGCTACCCGGACATGGCCTGAGATTGAGAGCTTCTTCATAGACTCGTTACAGATCTTGAAGTTCTTTGATAGGATAGGTGGAGTTTTTGCTGTGACGAAACGGGTTATGACTTATGGTGCACTTCATGACATTAGCCAGATGCAAAGGCTTTTGAGGGATCTCACAAGTAACTTAACATTTCAAGAGGCTTATGACATAACTGGCCGTGTTCTTGGGGTCACTGTTTGCTCTCCTAGAAAAAATGAGCCACCGCGCTGCCTCAACTACCTGACATCACCACATGTTGTCATTTGGAGTGCTGTAACTGCCTCTTGTGCATTCCCGGGCCTCTTTGAAGCTCAGGAGCTGATGGCAAAGGATAGATTTGGCCACATAGTACCCTTCCATGCGCCCTTTGCCACAGATCCAGAACAAGGTCCTGGAGCATCAAAGCGCCGGTGGAGGGACGGAAGTCTGGAGATGGATTTGCCAATGATGCAACTGAAGGAGTTGTTCAATGTAAATCATTTCATTGTGAGCCAAACTAATCCTCACATCTCTCCACTCCTCCGAATGAAGGAGATCGTCAGAGCTTATGGAGGCCGCTTTGCCGGAAAGGTTTGTTTCTGACCTTTAATTATGTTAAGTTAATAATAGTTTGTGTGTGGTTTATCTTAGCATGCAGGACTTCAGCTCTTTCTGCAAGTAATTTAGAATTGCTCTTTTGCTCTTGAATACTAGTTCATCATTTTCCTGCACAAAAGATGCTCATTTTCCCACGTGTTGCTACACAATGCACATCTGTGATCTGTCTACTAAATATATGCAATATCTTGGCAGCATTGAAGGGCTAATGGTAGGAGTTGGTGTTATTTGGTGTGAGGACATCCAGAAAATGTTCTGTAGCAAATACATCTGTACCTATTTTTACCTAAGAACTTTGTTTTTGTGATTCCATGTCTTCACTGAACACTAGACATTGCAATCCCTTCCAAATTTCAATTCATAGCTGTTGCATTACCAAGTCTAATTCTGATCTAATTTGTATAGCTCGCTCGACTTGCTGAGATGGAGGTGAAGTATCGATGTAACCAAGTTCTAGAAATTGGCCTCCCACTGGGAGGGCTTGCAAAGTTGTTTGCTCAGGATTGGGAGGGTGATGTCACCATGGTTATGCCAGCAACAGTAGCTCAGGTACTTCTGTCAATAAAATCTTCATAGCTCATACAGGCAATAATGCTGGTCCTTTGGGTTCAAATTGTCCACCTTATTACATCTTTCAAATTTGCAGTACTTGAAGATTATACAAAACCCGACATATCCAGAACTCCAAATGGCTGCCAACCAGGGTCGCAGGTGCACATGGGAGAAGATCTCTGCGATCAGAGCAAACTGTGCAATTGAACTTGCATTGGATGAATCCATAGCAGCCCTCAACCACAAACGAAGGCTAATAAGAAGCATTGAAAGGGCAGCAGCTTCTTCCCAGGGATATACCGACAATGTTCGAGTCAAAACACCAAGGAGGGTACCATCATGGAGCTGCATCAGTCGAGAGAATTCGTCAGGATCTCTCTCGGAAGATCACTTCGCGGCCGCTATTTCATCCAATCACCAAGGTACTATTCGAGTCGATGGTGCGCCAAGCACGTCTCATCATGTTCGTCAGATGTCACATGATGGAAGTGAGAGCGAATCAGAGACCATCGACTTAAACTCATGGACCAGGAGTGGTGGGCCTCTGATGAGGACTTCATCAGCTGACCAGTTCATCAACTTTATCCAGAATCTCGAGATTGAGTCCGAGTTCGATGGGGTTCATACAATAGAGGGTGGCAATGCAGGTATTTTCACAGGACCCACATTTCCTAGAGATCCATATCCAACCAACATTTCTAGAGCTACTACACCAGATGGTCCAGATAGATGCACAGAGGTTTCTGAAACAGAGTCATGCAACAATAGCAATACCAGCATTGCTGTGTCTGAAGGAGATCTGCTGCAACCTGGAAGGGCCACCAACGGGATTCTACTTAATTTTGTCAGAAGAGAAGATCTGATTGCTCGGCATAACGGCGATGCTGATGTGGCCAAGAGCTCCTTACCCGAAGCATATGTGGACAGAACACATTCAGAATCGGGTGACGCCATCTCAGCTGCTTCTAACAGCTCTGAAGATAACAAAGATGTCGCTGACTTGGACAATCCCTTGGTTTCTCATTCAGATTTTGTAACTCCGCCTCAACCCTCGGTTGATGATAACAAAGACGCTAGGCTAGATATTGAATAATTCTTAGTGGTTTATTGCAGCAGCAATGATGTACATGATAATTGCAGTGTCTATTTAGAGAGCATTGCTGACAACAGCAATGATGTATAAGATAATTGCAGTGTCTATTTAGAGAGCACTGCTGACAGCAGCATATCTGTTGTGTGGTGTCATATAGTGATTGATACTGATGATACATTTGACAGAAGCCTTTCTTGGCGTCGACATAAATGAAATTTAGTGTTTGTTGTACCACAGGCCCTGCCTCAAGGTTCTTCTGAACTGAACACACATTATAACAACTCTGGAAATCCATTTCTGTACACATATTCAGTTATCATATACACGCACAAAAATTCTGAGAAAATCATATATGAACTGATAGGGCTTCTGACTCAAAGTTTGAAGCTCAATGGTTTCTATCCCGCAGATATACTGGCACAGAAGTCTTTATGAAACTCTAACTGAACGTTATACAAGCTCCTGTCACATCTCACAGGTTCAACAGAGTAATATCAATAATAATCAACACTGTCCTTAAGCACTAACATAGAATAATTATCAAATTTTACACATGATCACCCACCTTATTGACATGCTAAAACAGGCAAATCAGAAAATGGTACTCAAATGCTTTCAGATACCAAGTAACAAATGCAGCTAAAATCTTCAACTAGTCCTCAAACGCTTTCAGGTTGCCATTCACAGATGTAAATCCGCCGTCGACCACGAGGTTGAGCGCGCTGATGTACCTCCCTTCGTCGCTCGCCAGGTAGAGCACCGCCTCAGCAACATCCTTAGGCAGCAGATCAACACCTTTCAGGTTTGCCTCACTGCCCACAAACGCCAGGAAGTCCCTCACTGCATCACCCTTGTGCTCCCCCTGGGGCAAATGCGGCATGGAGAGCGCGGTGGGCACGGCGTACGGCGACACGCAGTTCACCCGTATGCCGTGCCTCCCCAGCTCCAATGCCACACTCTTGGTGAGACCCACCACCGCGTGCTTCGACGCGGTGTAAGCATGAGGCCCCATCCCTCCGATCACGCTAGCAACGCTCGCCAATGAGACAATGGACCCCTTCTTGCTCGGGATCATGACACGCGCCGCGTGTTTCATGCCGAGCAGCATGCCGTGCACGTTGATGTCGAACACCTTCTTGACATCAGCAAAGTCGAGGTTCCGGATATCGGTGACCTTGTCGCCCGTAATGCCGGCATTGTTGACCATGATGTCGAGGGTGCCAAACTTCTCGGCCGCCGCATCGACGGCCCGGCTTATGTCCTCCTCCACAGTGACGTCGCAGTGGACGAACAGGACATCGGGGTCGCCTCCGAGGGAGTCGCAGAGCTGCTGACCGGCTTCATCCTGGACATCCGCTATGCAAACCTTGGCGCCGTGCTGTCTGAAGAGGCGGACGATGGCTTCGCCGATACCTGAAGCGCCACCGGTGACCAGCGCAACCTTTCCTTCCAACCTTTGGTTAGAAAAAAGCAAAGCAATCAAAGTTACAGCAAGCAAACATACTGATAATAATCTTACTCCTAGAATGCATTAAACAACCATGGCTCTACTACTGTGCTATCCAGCTGAGCCCCCAGTGCTCATCCCAGCTACATGTGGCCTATCACTTCTTCTAACAAACTTTAAGCCCAATGTTTCTGCGCCCGCTGTCAAAAACAGAACAGGTAAAAAAAATATGCTTCTGTTTCTGTTTAGCATCAACGTTTCATTTATTGTTCTACTAGTTCTCTGACAGAGCATCAACATTTCAGTAGCAACATGCAGCATGATGTTTTCGAATCTAGGGACCTTAACCCTGCCTTCTGCAATACCCAACCTGAACTCCCGAAGAAAAGGACACAGACACTGCAGTAAACGCGTGCTTCTCAGCCCTGGAGCAGAGCAGAGAAACGATGCAGCCAGCCAAACTGCAGGGACCTCTCGCATCACGCGACCGGCGCCATTGGAGAGGTGCTACACATCTAAAGCAG